TTGTCTTTAATCCATTCTAGAGTTTTGGGACTTGGCCAGTACTTTCTGTAATGAGGTGTTTTCTGGTTTCATGGGTTGGTGGGAAGCCAAAAATCTATGCTTTTAACTTGGATTAAATACCTTGCATATGCAGCTTTGTTGCAATTAATTACAGATACGTTTATTGTAATTCTTTAATATTTAGTCCATATTTCTTTCTCTGCCTGCAGTTATCTGTAGATACAGTAGGTGTTTAAAAACAAAGCCTAAAATAAGCAGCAGATGTCATGCTTCAGGAAATTCAAGTGATGAGTTAGATCCTCTTCAGCACAATTTTATCACTTTTTCCTAACCAGGTGGATAACGAAGAAATCCCTTTCCTCAAGCAGTGGGAATTAATTTCATGTTTACCTTCTCCTTTTAATAACTTCCAGTTATTTTCTTTCATGTAGAATCTTACAATGGAGACAGACCTGACAGCTGCAAATGGCAAAAAAGTCAAAGCACTTGAGATATTTGCTTATGCTCTGCAATACTTTAAGGAACAGGCATTAAAGGTAATGCTTCCTTATCTAGATTTGTTGTATTTATAACTGGTATAAATGTGAGCTTAGCACTTCTATCCTTGCCAAGCTTTGACCTCAGTAGTATTCGATGTAAACAAAGTAACGAAGCTGTAGAAACGCTAGGCAGGCTGTGGACTCTCACAATAGCCTGAAGTGATTTCCCCTCACACAGGGGAAGCTTGATTCACTAACAGCAAGTGCATCACTGTGCTGCAGAGTCCTGAATATATTCTTACAGGATTAAGTATTTTCCACTGCTTTTTTTTTTTCTTTTTTCATGAAAAAAATGTTGATTTGAAAAGACAATTTAAATGTGCAGATGCAGAAGCACAAGAATTAAGTTTGAGACTGTGTCCTGTCCTCATCTCCTGTACATCTGCTGGAATGACACATTGTTCTATGTTCACACAAGGTTCTCTCTCATGAGAGCAGAGTAGAGGGGCAGGATCACCTCCTTCATGACCAGCAAATCACAGTTTTGGTGTCCCCAGTGTAAGAAGGACATGGAACAGCTGGAGCAAGTCCAGAGGAGGCCACAAGGATCAACAGGGGCTGTACAAATACAGGGTGAGAAAGTTGGGGCTGTTCAGCCTAGACAAGAGAAGCTCCATGAAGACCTCAGAGCAGCCTTCCAGTATCTGAAGGGAGCCTATAAGGATTCTGAAGAGGGACTCTTCATCAGGGACTGTAGTGATAGGACAAGGGGTGATGGATTCAACCTAAAATAGGAGAAGTTCAGGATGGATATAAGGAAGGAGCTCTTCCCTGTGATGGTGGTGAGGTGCTGGAACAATTGAAAAGTAAGACATCTGTTAGGGGTTTGGTTTGTAAATTCATACTGTGTTCTGACGGGCTGCCTCCATTTATGTTGCTTTTCTCTTTTCTCCTTTTTTCCCCCCTGCTGTGGCTGGTATGGCTTTTTATTTTCCATTTCCCGTTTGAAATGTTGAAATACTCATTTCTTGTAATATTCTTCTTGGGACACAAGGTTGTTTTTCATTTTCTTCTGTAAAATATATGTCCCCAGGAAACAGTTTTTCAGATTTAAAATCTCATATAAACAGTCAAACATAAGTTAAGTACACTCTGGCTTCAAGTGCACCACTGTAACGTCAACGTAAGCAAGTTGCTGGGTCAAATCAGTTTATTCATCCCAGCAAGCATTGTTTTAAATAGCCTTGTTAAAATGTAACCTACTTTTTTGAATGGGTTTAACTTATTCTCTGTGAGATGTCTTTATGGCAACAAGGACACAATCTTGCCATTACAACTCCAATTCTTTATCTCGTCAAATACTCAACTAGATTTTGGGGTTGATTGTGGAGTCACAGACTTGAACCCATGCATAGTCTGCGGAAATTCTTAGTGAATGTGAATGCTGTTGGGTTCCATATATAAAATTGCTGTGCTGCCTGTTCCATATATTTGCTGTGCTGCCTGTTCAGGGCTACATCCTTTCTTGATGTTAATAAATCCCTGTGATTTGTGTGTGCGTGCTGAAACTAACTGGACAAGCGATGTAAATGAACTGTTACTTTGCACTGTAATCTGTCCATTCCTAGTGCCCTATATTCCTGTGCAATATAAAGGTAGCACTTTTCCAGCCTGGGTTTTTGAACTGCAGCACAGCTAAACAAACACAACACCTTGGCACAGCACATGCAGAAACAGTTTTTTACATTCTAAAGGCCTGTTGTTCACCTTTCTGAACCTTTCGCTGTTTGGATGGAGATTTAGATAGGACATATGGTAATGACATTTTACTTGGAACCTTTCCCAAAATATGTCAGTATATCACCTAATTTGCAAATGCAATACAGACTTTCCTCTTTTTAAGGGGGAAAAAAGGGACAATAAAAGAACTAAACTGGTCTTGAATGTTTGCTTAAAGCAAAATTTTCAAGGAGCAATCAGTTATTTTTTTTTTAAAGGGTTTAACTGTAACTTCCCCTTGTTAACTGAGTTGTAAAAAGTTGATTTAAAGGTAAGTGGTGTATAAAGAAGTCATTGAAGGCCTCAGATTGTAAAACATAATGTTCATCAGTGATACCTCAGCTATTTTTCTGTGTATTAATCAAGGTGCAAGTATGAATTCTTCAAGCAAACAGCAAATCCCACACTGTGACTAAGAATGTACATAAATGTTCTATAATATTCAGCAGTGCAGGAACTGCTTTTGGGAAAACTAACTTTTCTACTCCATGTTAAGCAGTAAACTTTTCTATAGGCCTCCTTGAGAAGGCATCAACCGTAATCCCAGCTTTTGGCACAGTAAAGCATTCTTGACAGGTTGGCAATAATTCTGATTTGTAGCTTAGGTGGAACAGGAAAAGAGTTGAAAAGAGAAAGTTACTGTTACTAGAGCCAGCAGAAAAGAATGTTTTCTTATGAAGTGGACACCCATCATTTTGCATTGACCTCTGGTTTCATTTTATTTAGGAGCTTAGTGACCAAGGAGGCTCAGATTTTGAAAACACTGAAGTAAGATGGGTCATTACAGTGCCTGCTATTTGGAAGCAGCCTGCAAAGCAGTTTATGAGACAAGCTGCCTACAAGGTAAGATTACAGGCTGAACATAGAAAAGCCTCTTTAAAGCCCTAGTTCATAGACTAAATGATAAACTTTTATTTGGGACAATTAGCTCTAGCATAGACTACAAATGGTCTAGAAAAGAGTCAGACTAGTAACACTGAAGAGGAGTTAACTGTACCAAGCAGTAGCTTTAAGTAATATGTATTTACCTCTTAAATGAGTTTTTCTATTATATATTGGTGTTCCTCACTCTGATGTTTTAGTCTTCTTGTGCACTC